TTACAGACCTAAAGTTACCAAATGATGTTTCATGCTCTGCTGATTTCAATAACCACTCAAACGCTTTTTCTTCATCTTTTTGTGTTCCTATCCCATTTCGATAGCAATAACTGAGATTATTTTTCCCTGCTGCATCTTGTGCTTCACAATTTTCCGCTGATTTCAATAACCACTCAAACGCTTTTTCTCCATCTTTTTGTGTTCCTATTCCATTATGATAGCAAACACTAAGATTACATTGTCCTAAAGCATTACCATTTTCCGCTGATTTCATGTACCACTCAAACGCTTTTTCTCCATCTTTTTGTGTTCCTATTCCAATTTGATAGCAAACACCAAGATTACATTGTCCTCGTGCATCACCATTTTCCGCTGATTTCATGTACCACTCAAACGCTTTTTCTCCGTCTTTTTGTGTTCCTATTCCAATTTGATAGCAAACACCAAGATTACATTGTCCTCGTGCATCACCTTTTTCCGCTGATTTCATGTACCACTCAAACGCTTTTTCTTCATCTTTCTGTGTTCCTATTGTATGTAAAGGCGCATTATTTTTTTGGTTTGTACCTTTGCTGTTAATTATTTTGATAGATGTTGAGAGTGATTGGGACTCTGTTTTTTCATGACTGACCGATTCATTAGTATGTTTATAGTGAATTTTAAAATTTTCAGAGTCAGGTTCCTTAATATATAAACTTGCCCGAGAATAATCTGAATCTTCTTGTTTTTTGTGTTTTTTAGAAGTGAAAGAAGAATCTGAATTAGAATCTTGTTCTTTAAAAGCGGAAGAGCGCTGCTTGGAATTAGTTGATTTCTTGTGATGTTTATGCTGGCGGCGAGAATATTCGTCGTCTGAGTCATCTCTTTTTTGTTTTTTGGAGATTTTATTTTCAGTAATTGTTAGAACCACATGATTAGTGTTATCTATTGCAGAAGTTGTCGATATAGATTCTGTATTAAGATTTTTTTTAAAGGAAGGCATATCCATTTTTTTCGTTATTTTCAAAATTAGAGAATTATGGAAGTAATAGTCACGGGTTGTTTTCACGTGTATGATTATATGAGAAGAAAAGAAATTAATCTGCCTCTCTACAAGTTCTTTTTATATAAAATTCTTTTTTATTTCTGTATGTTATGATGTGCCGGATTCAGGAGAGACCGTTCCGAGACCATAACGAACTTTCTTTGTGATTGGCTAATTCCAAACTCATACCACCGCATTTGGATGGCGAAAAAAAAGGTTACGGGTCATGTGATATCCTGTATGTCCGGAAAAATTCTACGGTAATAGAGATTATTGTTAAAGGTTAATTTAAAGGTTATAGTTAAGGTTAGATCTGTAATCAAAGCTATATATAAAATTGCCTTCCCGACATTTTTTGTTAGTCTATCAAACTAGATTTAGGCATCTGTTTCCCGTATTTTTTACATTTTTTGTTTTTTTCATTTTCTTGTGTCGGATTTGTTTTGCCGGGCTGATCAAAAATTTATGCATTTTATTGGTTTGTGTCACTAGTAGGTCAAAAATTCTTTACTAGAATGTGTAGCTTTTTTGATACACTATAAAACTTTTAAGTAAAAGCGATTTTTTTAAGTGTTGCTATTTATATAAATAATTCTTGCATATCAACTTTAGGACACATAAAACAAATTAAAATATGACCGATTAATCTATACAAACACGAAAAAAAAAACGAAAATATTGCCTCTAACGAAAATATTTAATAAAAAAATTTACAACTCGAAAAATGATTTTTTTGCATCTTCTAATAAATTCTCCATTGTTGTCACATCCGTTGTCGCTTCAGCATAATCCCAGTATAATACTATATCTGATTCTTCTTGGATCACACTAACAAATTGTATTTAAAGGAATATGTATAGATAGTGAGAATGTATGCTAAAATGAATCTTATAGGATCTCTTTTAAAAAGTTAGAAGCAATTAATTTTGCTTTTACTTTGACCAAAAATGACTAAACAAGAGCAACAAAGCTATATCCAATTCTTTCTGGATTACACTAACAAGTCGTGTGAAATAAATAACAAGATTAAGTAAAAGCATGCAAATACTATGAGCATTTGTTGGTGTTTCTTTCAGAAAGTCATAATGGAGCATGCAATTCAAATTTCCTAAAAGAGTTTATCAAAAGATTATACGTATGTTCAAAAGACTAACATTTTTTATATATTATATACAAACAGAGGCTTTATTCAAACAATTAGCGATTTACTTGACAGGTGTACAAGAGATCAACTTTGCTATTACTATTGCTAATGCTGGCAACAATTTTATTCCTGAATGTCAAGATGGTGCCATATGATATAATATACAAGAGGATGTGTTACGAATCAGCAGCTGTGATGTTTTTATAGTGTTGAATTCTAAGAAGATTCAAAATTATATTTTTATAGACGCTTTTTTATACAATTAACAGATAATTTAATTACAAGCAACTATTAAAGATTATATCTAAATGACATTCTCCTGTACCCATTTTTCACGTTTCTTCCTCTCATTCTCAGAAGCAAGATTAAAGCAATCCGGCATTACAACAAATGACAATCCATCATTCTGTTCTTTGTCATAACCACTATCACGACTACTAATATTATCATCAGTCATCATCATAACATCGTCATCTCTTCTTCCTGATCCAAGAAAGTTCCGTTCAGTGTACCAAATCCAATCATGAACTATTTGATCTTGTTCTGTTGTACCAGTAACCAAAGCTTTAGCGAGATCGATCCTCGATTTATTTTTTTCAGTTTGCTTTTTATCATTGCTTTTGTTACTATCTTCTTCAGCTGGCCCGAACACAAATCCCGATAAATGATGCACCGCGATCCAATACAAAAATGGCGTGTTTCTGATGTTGACGCGTCCGCTCACCAATGCTTTAATAAAAAGTTGTAACATCGTTTTGTTTTCTTCGATAGGGAAAAAATAGGCAAGAAAATTTTCGCGAATATTTCTTTTAGTTCTGTCATTATCATTATCATTATCTATATCATTATATATTTGTGACGAAAAAGGCGATAACGAGAAGATAGATGGCAAACAAATAGTTTCATCATATTGAACGCCAATAGTTCCCAAAAGTTCAAACATATCATTCCACACCAACATCCGATAATCAATTGAATACAATCCAGTCGCAAGCGGTATCAACAACAGCCGCGCGAAAAGTTTGTGGCCAAAAGATTCCGAAGCGTAGTTTGAACAAAAATCTGTGAAAATTTGGTAGAATGGAATTTCTAGAACGTGGGAAGCTACATTTTCTAGTGGTGGTGATGGTGCTGATTTTCCAAAAGTAGTAGTAGCAGCAGCAAGTTCATTGACTTTGTTAAGCTTGGAATTCAAAAGTGCTTTTTGTAGAGTGTACATCTCTACAAGCTTTTCCATCAAACAGTTAATTTCTGGATCTCGATAAAGTTCTCCTTTTAAAAGAAAGACTTTCATAAGAGAAATAATTATAACTGCCGGGTCTAGCATAACAAAAGTGTCTATTGGCTTCTGCTGCGAAGCTGCTTGAGCAGAATGACCGACTCGTAATTGACGACAAACTGATTGTATCAACAAAGCAAAGGTTAAACAACTCTTTACAACTTTGTTATTTACGTCACTATCCATCACAAAGTTATTCCTCTTTGAATATAATTCGTCAATTGGAGCAAAGACCCATCCAGGATTTAGGGGTAATTTCGAACTCTTGTCGTTAAAATCTACAAAGAAACCTTTAGTTTGAAGAGACAAGTTTTGAGTAATATTTCCAGAAATAATTCTGCTCCGGTAGAATGCCCATAGAGTTTTCTTTATTTCGTCAGTCTTGATCATTGACGTGGCTGATGATAACAAGTCATGAGAATTGGTTAACAGCATATCAAAAAGAATTTCTAGTGTTTCCAGTGCCATATTCTCGTCTCCTGGCATATACTGTTGAACCAAGAACAGAGCTGTAATTAAGGTCTTTTTTGATTTGTTACTAGCATCATCATCAGATGGTAATAAAGATAAATTATTATCATATGACAGCATAACGTGTAGCCATTCATGTTGCAAGTAAACGCTCCATCGATCAAAGAAATCAAGCCATTTTCTTGTCTGTTTTATCAATTTTGGCTTAACTCGGTTTTCGTGTAAAATTTCTAACACTTGATATACTTCATTAATCACGTGTAGAGATTCCTGGATAATACTCTCATTATTAGAGCTATCATGTCTTAACAGACGCGTGATATTACATATCAACAGAATATGCGATAATAAGCAATCACATATAACTGAAATCCTTATTTTCGCAGAAAGAATCTTGCGAGTTCTTGGGTGATATGCACCAGGGGAATTTGGCAATTGCCAATCATTATTCTCTACTATCACACTACTTTGTTTGTCATCATTGATATTAGAGAATGATTGCACTCGTTCCCGTAAAAATCCATACAATATCGAGTTATGCCAGTTTGATAAATCTAAACGTTTCCAAAATTCTACAATTTCAGTGATATCTTTAACAGGAAACACGTTCAAGTATTCACACCAACTGGAAATGTAGGCAGAAACAATTGATATCAACACGATAGCCTTTTCATAATCGAGGTATTTTTCGGAATTTTCATCGACCATGTGTTCTGATGACGCGATTTTTGAAAACTCGTGTGTCCATTTTTGTAGTAATTCTAGTGTGTCTCGAATAAATTCACTGGGTCTTATTTCAAATGAGTTCTGATTAGCTGTAGTATGACTAGAAGTAGTCTCTTTATTTGAAGTGACTTTTTGTAAAATGGACAAAGATCGCGTCCACGTTTCTAATAATCTGAAAAACCGAATGATCATTTCAATTTTTTTCTTCATAATATCGATACTATCATATTGTTTTCCTTGGTCATCATGCAAAGGATGTATGATGCTCCATTCCCAAGGCATCTTTATCTCATATGCCATTTGCATCAAATATCTGAACAAAACATATTCTTGCAAGAGTATCTCATGATACAGTCCATAACCTGCAATCACTTGATATATCGTCAAAATTTCCAAGAAAAGATCGTATCCCAACTCTTTATAGAATTTATTCGACACAGAGGAAGGTCGAATCACAACATACCGTGATAATGTTTCAATGTATTGCTTTTTGATGAATTCTTGACATGTTTGTTTTGATGACTGGCAGAGTACACGCAACAATTTAACAGCAATAAGTGATGGATAGTTTGATTGTTGGAGATTATTAATGGTTGCTGATTTGTCTGAGGTATTAATCGATACAGGTTGGACAACAACTGGTGGCCATGGCAAACAAATAAATTCTTGGTGGATAACATCAAGTAGGCGTGGACATTCTACAATTTCGGCGGCACTCTTTGTAGAGTGACGTGCAAATTTTACTAAAATTGCTAGAATTTGCTCGACAGAGACGGGTGGTAAACTTCCAATTTCAAGCATATATCGAAATCGATGCAATATATCCATTGACAAGAATCCAACTACAAGATCTTTTGCGGCGATGCGTGCATGCTGTTCAATTGTAGCGTTTTCATCATCTACATTTTCGTCATCGTCTCTCTTTTCAACAAGAATCTCCATGCCAAACCGTTTTTTTGACCTTAGTTTCCTTAACATACGTACACAAATAATCTCATATCCGCGATACAATCCCAATACACTATCATATATTTCTTCTTCCTTTTCAAACTCCAATTTATCACCAATAATCCAAGATGCGAGCGCATCAATTGCAGCGACGGTAGCGGACTCATGTGTATCATCGAGTGCACTTCGCAAATATATAGGAGCATTCAACTTTATCACCCATGCTGCTATTCCTTTCCCTAAATCGTCACCTCCATCTCCATTTCGATCAAACCTACCACTTCGTATTTTCCTAAATATACGAGCGACAACATTCAAAGGGATAATTCGTTGGCTTTTTACGTTACTACGCATCAGAAAAAGTAGTTCTGAAAGGGTGTACCCTGCTTGCTCTGGATTATCGCCGTGGTGATGAAGCCCTTTGTGAACTGCAATATTTGCATTCTTGTCAAGAATGTTGCCAGTGAAGTCGAATCTTAAAGACGCTGCCACTGGGTCATTTGGGCTGGCGGTATATGGACGAAAGGCAAACGTTGTATTATTGTTGTTGTTTTGAACATTATCGAATGAAGATTGCGGCTTTTGCGGCTTTTGCTGCTGAGACTTGTTTTCAAGTGATGTAAGGCCCATCCATTCGAGTTTTTCTGGCTCAGCTGGTACTTCTGGGAAGTATTTCTTTTTCATAACGAGTGGATGCGAGTCGTCGATATCTTGATTTTCTTCTTTATTTTCTTCATTTGTATTCATGATATTATAATCTTTGATAGGTGGCTGTTGCGATGCACTGTTTTCAGAGAAATGCACGCGTTTTTTATTATCAGAATTTATATTTTTATTGTTATTATCAACGTCATTTTTATTTTTCTCTCTTAAAGATGATTTTGATAGTAGTTTTTGTATGAATGCAGGATCTAAGGACTGTCGTAAATACGCCTGTGCTTCCAAAATCTCGCTTTCAGACATAATAGCCAATTTTGCAAGATTCTCTTTATGAATTTCGTCATGTATTTCTTCATCCTTCTTCTCTTTATCATCGTCAATATCCATTAAATGAGATTTGCTATCAGGCTTCTTTCCTAATCCCTTACTATCACCACTTTCCTGATCATCTAGATCTTTCTTCAACCGCGCAAAAAACTGTGTTCTATGAACAGGCCGAGGAAATCCACTTATATTATTACTAGAAGAAAGAGATCTAAGAAGAGACGGCGGCATCACCGGTTCCCCAGTTGTTTCTTTCTCCATAACCAGATTAACCGTATTGGTTTTGTAAGAGTGCATGTCCAGTACCTTTTTTATGGCGGGCACATGCTGCTCTGTTGGGGAATTGTTGGACTCGTCGTTGTCAAGGTTCATTTCGAAGCGTTCTGCTGTACCTTTTGAAGAACGCGTTTGTATTGTTTTTGTCATTTGTTGTTCATTATTATTATTTTTATTTATGTTCAAGCGTGACGCGAAAAGCGACTTCTTTTTTGGCTTTTGTTGTTGGTGATGGTGGTGCATAGATTTTCTCGTTGTGGTGGAATCTAAAGATACTATATCTCGCTGTTGTTGCGAAACATTATTATTACTTGCTTTTTCTGTAATAACATTGACCTGATCAACAAGAGGTTTAGTAGTAATAGACTCTCCAGGACCACCTTGGGCAGCTTCACCACTGTCACCACTTCTTCGCTCCTGCTCTTTCTTTATTAAGATAGCAGCCGGCTTAGAATGAGTATTTAGAAACTCGTCTTGTAGATTGAGCAGGTCTTCTTCTGTTGTTTCGACGGCTGGTTTGCGTATTGGGTGCATATTTTTACGTGTCGATTTTGATTCAACATTTGATATGCTAAAATACATGTGTTATTTATTCTATTGGCTCAATTTTGTATAATATCATGTTCTGGAAAGTATTCTTTGGTGGTTGTTCCATGTAGCAGATAAACTTTCGTTGTAAAGCTTTATTTAAAAACTTAGTTTTTGTGAGTTGTATGTCTATATGTAAAAGAATAAATTGTAAATTACGATTTTATTGTAAAAAGCGGGCTCAGATAGGGTTACACTAGACATTTCCATATTAACCCTCAACTGATTCTCTCACAATGCAATAAAAAAAATTGTTTATTAAAGTTAGAAATTAGATATATAGTAGTCTATAAAAATTTACACTTTGTAACGACATTTGTGATTGATTTGATTATCATCATTATTATCGTCATTATTATGAATTATAATTATTGATTTAAAATAAATATCATCGATATTAAAAAATATCATTATTATTACGTGTTAACATTCACCACCCTCCTATGCTGCTGAAAAAGACGGAACCCCAAAAAGGCCGCGCCAAGAAACACCCCAGTCAAAGCTGTGAACGTCAAATACCGTTTCACGCGCGACGTTCCATGTTTAGCGTCCACTATTCCGCCCGGTGTTGCTGTTGCGGGATTCATTGCGTACCCAGTCATCAGGTTCCATAGGTCGGCGATCTGTTGTAGACGTACCGACACGCTTATAGGGACTGATAGGCTGAGTGTGCGACAGTAAACGTCTGGTTGGACTTCGTGTCGCTGTTTTTTTGGGGAGGAAGGATGGATTGTTGCGTTATTTATTTAATAAAAAAAAATAAATAAAATTTGGTTTGAACTATCCAAGGTATACCTGTTGGACAAGGTCAGAATCGCTTTTGGTTGCGACAAACACTGTCGGCAGATTTTCTAATATTAAATGTCTTCGCTAAAAATATATATATACCAACAAACACAATAATAAATATATTATTATTATTATTAAAATGTTTGCAAACTATAAAATTGATTTAAGATAAAAAATAAAGTAAATATGTATCATTGAGCAATACCAACCCGCAGCTCCACAATATACGAAAAGGAATTGACATCACTAGAGTCATATACAAAACATATCAAGTCACATGCTTCCATTTTGCGTTTATTTTGGAGAATTTCGTTTTCATATTTTGAGCCGAATTCTTGAAGCTATGATATAAAATTTAAAGAAATAATCATGATTAAAAATGAGCTTTGTTTTTGGACAATTTCATCATAGAAATAGTTAACAGCAATAAAATAAATAAATAAATAAGGAAATAAAAATATTGATGATGACACTCACTACCAAATATTTTTCAGCTCCTTTGATTTCCACAGAATTGACCACACTAAAAGTTCTAGTAGTCGGTGAATATCCTTCCGTGAACGGTTTGTTTAGAAAGGTTCTTAGTAGTGTGGTCTAATTATTATGAACAAGGACATAAACATACATTGCCATTAGTATTGTTGACGTATACTAATAGAAAAGTTCTTTTAAGTTACATTGTTTAAATAATTAAAAACATCTTACCTTACCCGAACCCGCTGCGCCAAACACATAGACGAGGAAGACATTACGCTGCACTTTATTCCGTTTCCTCTCGACATTTTTTGGTCTTGTCACTTTCAGAGCACTTCTTGTGTCTCCCTCAAATCCAAGGAAAGCGAGATAAGCCAATGTAGTTTTATAATCAAGCAAAGTGGTCATACTACGTATAAGGTAATCATAAAAATAGAAGGTTGATAACAGATAAAAATTAAAAAGCTGATCGAGAAACGTGGTATTAAGTAGTAGAGTAGGGTTGATACATAATAGCACCCTTCTTACCTCCATTGAGCTAACCATCCTTGCAAGGTGACAGCCCCAGCTTCATTCGTGATTGTAGTCTCCGGAAATTCAGAGTTTGTCCACGGAGATCCTTGAGGCGCTGTGCTAAAAAGTTGTTCTAGTTCGTCATCTTTTAATGCTCCATCTTTATCCTGAAATTTATAATAACAAACATTTAAAGGTGATAATTAATTAGACAAAATTAATTAATATTGAATGTTGATACACGCACTTTATCAAATGACTGAAATATATCGGCAAAAAATTGATATCCATAAGGACTTAATTCTACCGAGCAATCCTGTGGTATGTCGATTCTTATAACGAAAAAAAATCAAGTAAAATAAATAAGTTGATTATTTAATTATTTAGATAAACATGCAGTAATATTTATTTACTCTGGATATAAAAAATCCTCTCGTAGAGAAAGATCATCACCGTAACCAAACTGTCGAAGAACAGTCCATGTTGTTTCAAGACGACCTCTTTGTATGAAAAGTTTATGAAGGAATAAAAAGCCGAGTTCTGTCAATCCAACATCGTTAACACCGGATGGCTCATTATCCTTTACAACTACTTTAACACCCTCAAGTTCTTGTTGTTGTAAAGGCGCGTTAAAACATTTGCGCTAAGATAGAAATTTTTTGTTAGATTTTTCGCAGCTAAACCCATAATAAAGTCGAAAAAAATTACCTGAAATTCATTCAGTTCATCATCATTCAATACTCCATCTTTGTCGGTATCACAGAGATTAAAAATTCGTTTAAGTGCATTTTTGCACGCTGGTTTCAAGACCTGCTTTTTCCAAAAATAATAAATATATTAGAAAAATATATCTTTCACTGAAAGTACACTTTCCAACAACTCAAACTCAATAATTACATACGTGTTCCCGAGAATCATATAATGGAGCAGTCGGATGCAGGACGGCTTTCTGTGCAAAGTAAAATACTTCCGAAACATTAAGCGGCTGTTTTGCCGAGCACTCCACGCAAGTTTCTACTTCCTGCGAAGGTTCAAGGCACGATAATGATGATGTTTGTATTGTAGTAAGGAGGAGGGAGGGAGCTTTAGACAGGTTATTGAAGGAATTCAGTTTCCAATTAAGGCTCCAATTGTGTGTATATGATAAACTAAACTAATGCGGTGCACGATATTAAAAAACTGTTGATTGACCTTGAATTCATTCATTATTGGTATTATTTCGTCCTCTAGTGATTGATTTGTTACTTGATCTCCACGGAGATCTATTTTGTTGCCAACCAACACGACAGGAACCTAGCACATATATACACACACATATAAATCACTTGGGTGAACAAATATAAAAAATTGATAATGGCATTATTAAACTCACGTTCACCCCCAGGCTTCTAATGTAAGGTAACCAATATGAAGCGAGGCGATTAAACGTATGTGGATCATCTATGGAATATACAATACAAATGACATGTGCCTTCCTAATTTCCATTTCTAAGTGATCTCGATTTTCAGTTCGAGCTGGTAGAAAATATGATTAATATACGAATTCGAAAATTTGAAACGGAGCAACACTAATAATACAAGTGAAATACCTGAAGAATCTATGATATGCGTTGTAACATTTTCGGGAGTAATATTTGGTGGTATTGTCACTTCGGGGACTATATGTTGTATCTATACATATACACATACATATATTTATATAGTCCAAGAAGAATAAGAATAAGCGACAAGCAACACGCGTAACGTACACTGTCAAAGTTACAAAAAATCACTCAATAACCCGTCACCATCAAAATCTTACGTTTGGGACATATTGTTCCTTAATTAGAGACGTTATCAGGGTACTTTTTCCAACACCATCTGTGGGATCGAATAGGGACAATATGTTTATCAGCCAAGTAAAAGCATAGGTAGATAGAACCAAACAAAAAACAATCTCGGTCTTACCGTCTCCAGCAACTAGAATTCGAACGTCTCGCCGCATTTTCGTGGCTGTTAATACGCGTCAGAGTGAGTGAAGGCGCCACCTTTGAAAGCTTGCTGGTACGTAACGTGTATGTATTATAAAAGTGTGTGTGCACAGTGTATCAGTTGTCGTGGAGAATAGGATAACAGGTAAATATCATACCTGATACCTGATGCTAAACCCAATACCTGTGAAAAGAACAACCTAATAAAGCTCCGTGTTGTGCATGACGTTTATGCGCACAAAAGAAAAAAGTCACGTTTTGTTTTAATTTAATGAATTGATGATCAACAAACCTGCATGCAAAGTTAAAAAATATATTTTTACGTGTTGAATAAATCTTCACCTTGCTATTATGGAACCAAATGTTAATTCACAGATTCCCAAAGAAACCTCACCACAAATAAATAAGTCTACATTAGATTCGACTGAGAGTTGCATTACTCCTTCAGAAACCGGTTCTCTTGAAAATAGTTCTGAAATTCCTCCAAATTCGCCAAATTTGCCTTCTCAAAATGAAATTGAATCTGAAACTGTTAACTCAGTCTCGCCAGGACAAGAAAAAAGTACCTTTTTAATTACCACAGACTTGGAAGAAACTACTTATGCAGATAAAGAGGCGCCACAAACAGAAATGAGCATTACAACAACTTCCTCTTTACCCGAACGGGTTGAACAACCACCTGATGCAAAGGATAATACTATTTTTACAAACTATATTGTCACCACAAATAACGTTAATAATGAAACGCAAATTTCTACTACTATTCCTCCGACCGACTCGTCTTCAAAGGAGCTCATTATTGTTCGTGTGAAACGAAAGCGAAACGAAGAGCCTTTGGATGCGTTTGGTATTTTGAATTTATTTCTTCTCATATGCTAATGAAAAAACAACACACTTTAATTAACACTGTATACTTATTTTTACAGTTGTGCAAAAAATGTTAAATGGAAACTTGCATAGTAAAAAAGTTAAAAAAGAAGAAAACCATGTTACGGAAAAAGAAGGTAATATAAACAATAGAGAATCGAAATATAATTCGGAAAATATAATTAATTTAATATAATTTATATTTTAATCTCCAGCTCACAGTTCTGCTGATGCCCTAACCGCTTACTTCCGATTCGCGGAAACAGTGGATGAAATGACATTTGAACATTCAGCAAAGACTCTTCAGCTTGAGGTGCATAACTACTTTCGGATACTAGCAATTGACGCGTATAATTCTTATTTTAAATTTTAATTTACGCAAATTCCAGGAGCGTATCAGGAACAGACTACGAAAAAATCAAAAGGACGAAGATTTAAAAAAACGGTTCAAAGACCATCATGGAAAGAAAAGAGACCAATTCAAGGAAGATAAACATACAGCACGGTATCAAATAATTCAGAATAGAAGATATAAAAAGTATTTATTCTTTTTTTGGATATTTTCCATTTTCTCTATTTTCTATCTTTCTTAATCAATCACCATTTTTCGATTTTAGTAATAATGAGATGTTCATAGATCAAGAAGACAACAATAATAATATAGTTATGAGTGGAACCACCGAATCACTTAAAGTATTTGATGCCGTGAAACAAGTTGACGACAACGACAAGAATGTGACAATATCATCAAAGTTAGTCGATGATTATCTGCTAACTCATCTGGAGATGGATAATCGCGCATATTTATTACGACACTATATTACTATATTACGATTTTAATATATATATACATATATATTATTAGACCTACACATCGTGATGATGTAATGGAAAAGTTCTTGCCTATGGTTATGGATTACATGTCATGTAAGTCTCTTTTCTTTATCCAAATTTAAAATTCTTGAATTTAAATAAATATAAACTTTATGGTTTTTCTCGTTTAGACTTGAATATAAAAGATCATGATGACGACGAAGATGATGAATACGTCTATGATGTATTCTATCGCGACGACAATTTTGTTAAGGGATTTGAAGATCACTATCGTAATGTTGCTTCATTGTAAATAGCAATTTTTTTTTAATTTAATTAGTTCATAATAACTGTCATTCGATAACTAATAATATATATGGAATTCTTGGTTTTCAATATAAAATTAAAGGGTTTGGCTTGAAGATGATGATAATGAATATTTGTTAGATGAAGCAGATATAATTGACACGGACGATGAAGACTCAAATGGTGACTAATAAATAGTGTGATTTTTGGGATCCGTTTTATGAGTATTTTATTTTTGGTTGTGCTTCGTGATTTTGAGAAACTAAATTTTTCGTTTTCCGTGTATTATTATGTAGCTGAAAATTACTATACTCATGATTACCCTGAAGAAGAGGGCGATGAAAAATGGGAGGAGGATGGTGGTAAGATTTTTAGTTTACAAAAGAAAAAAAAATAATATCAAATAAACAGTTCTCTTTTGCATTGCTTTCTTCTAATTCATTATAAAATATACAATTTTTTCACCACCGACTCCCGACTTGTGAATAGATTACGATTCCGAATGTGATGGAAATCAGTCATCTGACGAAGAAGAGTATTATGCTTAGTGATGTGAGGACATAACAAAATTGTAGGCTAATTCTTTTTTAGTCTTTTATATATGCTTGATTGAAGTAAATTATAATAAAAAAAGTTAATTTTTTAGTGATGCTTATTAAGTGAATTTGGATCAACTTTATATACTTGTAGTCTCATTAATTCCATTCAACTAAGATTATTAATGTTTTTGGTTCGGATTAATGAGCCACATCCGTTGTCTTATTAAATCAATAAGCTGACGAACAATATTTATATAGTAAGCACTCTTCGGATATTCACTAACAATATATTATTTTGTTCTTTATTACAATTATTCATGTTTTTTGTAAATCAAAATTTATATTTTACATTAATTCGTATGATGTAAAATATATTGAAGAAACGCATTTAATAAATAAAATAAATTTCACTTTTAAATATGTTTTTGATACAATTTAATATTTTATCTATTTAATAAACCAGTTGTTATTTCATTATATTTAAATTAGCTATAAAAATATTTTTGGAAATTTTAAATATTATATTTTAAAATTATTCAAACTATATACAGTAACAATTGAAAGAAATGCAATAGTCTCAAAATTTATTAATAAAATGCTAGTTTTTCTTTTTATATAAAAGTTTCTAATTTTATTAATTAATATTTTTTGTTTTTATATAAAATCTAATAATAACTCAGATATTTTAGATTTAATCTGGAAAAGTTTTAATTAGTTTTTTATAATTAAAATATATATTGATTAACAAAATTATGAAATTATACATAGTAAAAATCGAAATATTTGTTTTATATAAAGTGTTTAATTTTATTAATAAATATTTTTTATTTTTATATCAAAATAAAAATTATATTATATTTTAATATATTTTTTAGATTATCTAATAAAATTGTTCTAAATACAAAATTATTATAAAATTTTTTTATAAAATTAATTATAAAAATCCAGAAAAAATATAACTTACAATATTTATTTTGATATAAAAATAAAAAATTTTTATTAATAAAATTGAAAATTTTTACATAGTAACAATCAGAAATAATGCAACAATATCAAAATTTATTAATTAAATATAGTAAAATATGAGTTTTTTCTTTATATAAAAGTTTTTTTTATTAATAAATATTTTTTATTTTTATATTTTTTTCAGATTTTTTAAATTTAATTTGATAAAGCTATTCTAATTGCATATAAAATTAATTATTTTTTTATAATTAAAATATATAAAAAAATAATTAAATTTATATATCATTAGAACAATTTTATTAAATTAGATCTAAAAAATTTGAAAAAAATATATATTAAAATATGTGATATTATCTTCATTTTAGAAAAATATTTATTAGTAAAATTGAAAACTTTTATATAATTAATAAATTACATTATTTCTGATTGTTATTATATAAAACAAAAATTTTAATTTTAATTTTACTTATATTTATTAATAAAATTATATATATAATTATGTTAGTAAATAATAATAATAATAATAAATATAAAAATATCAAAATTTATTAATAAAATATGATAAATATAAATATTTTTTTATATAAATATTTTCAATTTTATTATTTTTATATAAAAATATAAATAATAATTTATATTTTAACATATTTTTTTCAAATTTTTTGTATTTAATTTGAAAAAGTTTTCTAATTATAAAATAAGTTAAATAATTTTTTATAATTAAAATATATAAAAAATTAATTAACTTATTTTGCAATTAAAAAAACTTTTTTAGATTAAATATAAAAAATCTAAAAAAATATATTAAAATATAATTTGTTATTTATATTTTTATATAAAAATAAAAAATTTTAATTAATAAAATTAAAAACTTTTATATAAAAAAATTTATATTTTATTAAAAATAAAATATTACTTTTATAAATTATTATAATTAAAATATATAAAATTTATAAAGTTTGAAATTATAAAAATTATAAGAATTTCTAATCATAATAGTATTTAGCAAAAAAAATAATTTTAATATTATTTTTATATAAAAATAAAAGTTTATATTTTCTATATTTTTACTATATTTTATTAATAAATTTTTTGTTATTATTTTTTCAATTTTTTAATATAATAAAATAAACTTTTATTTATTTAATAATATTATACTTTTAAACTTATAAATTAAAATACTTTAATAATTAAAATATTTATTAACAATATTTAAATAATTTTGTAAAATTTTGAAAAAAATTATTTTTTTATAAAAAATTTAATAAAAAATTTAAATTTTTAATTTTATTAACAAATATTTTTTATTTTATATTAAACTAAAAATAATATTATATATAATAATTAATAAAATTATATAATTTCATTAATAAAATATAGTAAAAATTGAAATTTTAATATATAGTGACTAATAAAATTATAAAATTATACATGCAATTTTATTAATAAAATATAATAAAAATTAAAATTTTTGTCATATATAAAAGTTTTTAATTTTATTAATAATAAATTATAATTTAATATCTATTTTTTCTGACAAAATTATTCTAATTGCAAAAATTTTTTATAATTAAAATATAAAATTAATTATAAAAAATTTTTGCAATGACTTTGCAATTAGAATAACTTTGTCAGAAAAAAATCTAGAAAATCCAGAAAAAATAGATATTAAACTATAATTTATGATTTTTATTTTAATATAAAATAAAAAATATTTATTAATAAAATTGAAAAATTTTATATATAACAAAAATTTCAATTTTTATTATATTTTATTAATAAAATTATATATATAATTTTATAGTTTTGTTAACTATTATATATAAAAGTTTTTAATTTTATTAATAAATATATTTTATTTTATATTAAAATAAAATTTATAATTTATTTTAATATATATATTTTTTTTTGGATTTTTAGATTTAGTTTGACAAAATTGTTTTAATTACAAGTTAATATAAAATTTTTTATAATTAATTTTATATTTAATTATAAAAAATTTTTATAATAATTTTGTAATTAGAATAATTTTGTCAAATTAAATCTAAAAATTCAAAAAAAATATATATTGAAATATAAATTATAAAAAATATTTATAGTTAAATTTCTCTAAATATAATTAATAAAATATAAAAAAGTTAAAATAACTTGTATTTAAAAAGATATTATATTATAAAAATCCAAATATATATATATATATATTTTATAAACTGAGTCAAATTAAAGCATATATTTAAAGAAAATCAAACTTAATAATTGTATTTAAAAAGATTATATTTAAAGAAATTATATTTAATAAAATTTATTTGTAATAATTTGACTAATTATTATTTGAAAATTAATTGTTATAATGAAACAAAAAGCTTAAATCTCGAAATTTTTTCAATATTTCAAAAAAATTAATATGATTTCTTGAGTGTCTTCACATAGTCCAATCCAAATTCTACGTGAAGATACCTATTGATTACAAAAATTTTAAGAATTACAACAATTGAAAATGATTTCTAAATTGTTTTTGAAAATGAGATAATTTTGTATATTGAAGCAAAAAAATATTTGAATCTTTGGCTTGGATAAATTAACTAAGAAGTCTCTTGATATATTAAAAGTTAACAATTCGATTAGATATCGATATATTCGCGTAATCATTTTGGAATGCCTACACACTTTGCCTTTTTTGATGATTGATTGTTTAAATTCGCCGATATATTCAAAATTCTGGCCAGTCAAACACACCTTTTTTGTTTCATCGGTCATAATAAAGTTATACTTGTTCGTTTAGGATTTTCTACCATTTATTACTACCATTTATTACTGTTACTGTTACTATTACTTTATTATTATTATTATTAAGAAACTAGTCATTGGCTGGTGTTTTGGCTGAAATTATCTTCAATAATTAAGAAATCACATTTTTTCGACGAAATGTTTCGGTCAACAAATAGCTTTGAAGAGGTGGTTGGTATGTTCAAGATTACTTTTAACTATTTTTCGCTGACACGGCAAGAATGAAATATTGAGTTCCTCATAAAATAATGTCGCTGCATTCATATACTGCGGCAAAAAAGTGTCGTCAACGTGTATCGTTATCATATGAATTATCATACTGGATTTATGCTATACTGATTTGGTTAATATTTTTCTTTTGGTTTTGATAAAAAAGCAAAAGCGACTGATGAAACACTCACCTCTGAAAATTGGGAGTTAATTATGAATATTTGTGAAAAAGTAGAGACTGGTGGGGAACAAAGGTTCATCGTCATTCTCATCTTAATTGTTAATTAATTTCATTGATTTATCCAGTATTGATTTTAACGTTCTTGTTTTGAAAAGTGCAAGAGATTGCATTTCTGCGATACAAAAACGATTGGCGCATCGAGCTGCTAATGTACAATTGTATTCTTTGACGGTATGTACGGATGATTTTGTGTTGGGGGACCTGTTGTGATTGATAGTTAAATGTTTGGACTTTTTCCTTATGAATTAAAGATCACGTTTTTTAAATTATTTTGTGAATAGCTGTCAAACTCGCTTGTCAAAAGTTGTGGACTACCAGTTCATCGCGAGATTTGCAGTCGGACATTTACCTCGCTCTTAGCGCGTATGGTCACAGACAAGGTAATTACGTTAAAAATTATGATGACGATAAGCTGTATTTTAAAAAAAGAGAAATTATTTTTTAATCGCATCCAAAAAATTAAAGAACACACACGAAACCGTCAAAAACAGAATCACTGAGTTAATTCAAGAATGGACATTTGAGTTTAGATCAAACTCGTCGCTGAGTCTCATGGAGGAAACATTTAATTTGTTACGAGAACAAGGTAAAGAAGCAAATATCGTGATTTAAATTTTCTCTAATTAACTCTTGAATCAATCCGCGCCTTTGTTATTTTTATATTTTAGGTGTGCCATTCCTGCCACCCGATAAGCCAAAAAAGGAACCAACACAGGTTTGATTTTGGTTTTCTCTATCCATTTTATTGACCTTTTCATGACATTCATCTATTACTTACTGTCTTGCTAAAAGAAATTTCCATTTCCATTTCATAATAACAGTCTGAATTAGACAAACAAAAAGAAGAAGACGAACTTCAATTGGCAATAGCAATGTCTTTGTCACAGACGTCGGCTTCAAAAGAGAGAACCGTTCAGCGGGTAATTTATATTAATGAAACATATATGTGTATTTACTATTTCAACGCGATTTTAATGAAATATCACGGCGCTATCTATTTATTTATATATATATTATAGAATGTACCTTCGCAACCAGCCGCAGTTGCCAACCAAGTACGTAATAGATGGATTACTGTTATTCGAATTGGGAAAGATTGCATTTGCTGTGATTAAATTTTGAAAGTACAGATTAATTTTAGTATTTTTTTTTTTTTTACAAAATCAAGGACACAAAACAACCACCACCCGTATCAAAAGTACGTTCGTTGTACGACTTCACCCCTACCGAATCAGGCGAACTAGGATTTTCCCGTGGAGACGTGATTACCGTGCTGGAGACCGTGTATAAGGATTGGTGGCGCGGCGAGTTGAATGGTAAGACTGGGATTTTTCCGGTTAATTATGTGGTTGGTATTTCTTTCTTTGATTATTATTGTTTTCGGTGAATGATGAATAATTCTGACAAAAAATTAATAATAATGATGAAATTGATAATGGTTATAAACAGGAAAAAATTACGGAACCAAGTCCAGCAGATCTAGCGCGTGAAGCAGAAATGGAAGCCTCTGTATTTTCGGAAGCGTGTAATGTTGAACGATTACTCGAGCTGTTATCGAATATTGACCCAACCAAAGATAGTTTCTCTGAGAATGAAGCTATCCAGGTATTTTACCTATTATGAACTTTTATGTAGTAGTAAATATTTTTTTCGATGTTTGGATAATGACATATAATTTTTTGATGTATCAGAATTTGTACCACTCGACATTAGCAGTTCGACCGAAACTGGTACAACTTATTGAAAAGTATAGTCAGAAGAAAGGTAAACTAATTTAAAATATTCATTTCAAGAACAACAAGAAAGACAATGCATTTAATCCATTTTTATGAACTTCTACCAGATGAGCTTATCGCATTAAACGATAAATTCAACACGGCAAGAACCACGTACGATCGTTTACTTGAGGAATCGATCAATAGATATAAACCGAATGCTGTTGGTGTTCCTTGTAAGCTTTATACTTGTATGATTTCGTGATTTCGTTCATTTAAAATTGTCTTATAAAAAGAATACTTTCATTTAAAGATCAAACGATAACCGGTCCTTCATATGGCTTAACAATAGACCCATATGCTGCTGCTGCTGCCGCTGCCGCTGTAGCTGCTGTTGCTTTTCCTCCACAACAACAGCAGCAACAACCACCGCCACAAACTCCCATTCAAACAAACTACCCACACTATAGTATACAACAGCAACCAAATATTTATGTTCCTCAAACACCGCAGCAACAATATGCGACGCCTCCGTCATCTCAGAATAATAATCCATTTTTGCAACAGCAGCAGCAGCAACAGCAGCCGCCACAGCCTCAACAACCTCAATATTCGAATCCTGATCCAGCTGCGTTACAGCAACAGCAACAATATGTTTATCAACACCAACAACAACAACCGCCAGCTGGTTATCCGCCACAACAACAAACATCATCTAATGCTGGATATCAACAACAGCCACCTCAATTCGTTAACCCAAATCCTCAAGATGGAATCTCACAACAGCCACTGTCACAGCAACAACAGCAGCAGCAACCATATCAACAAGCTCAATTCACTCAACCAAATCAACAACAGCCACAAAATCAGCAACAATACCCCACAGATCCTTCAGCATACGTACAACAACCACCGCCGCCTCAATCATCATCATCAGCAACAACAACTAATGGTATTAACGCTAATGGTGTCAATCCTGATAATAACAATAATGTACAGCAGCAACCACTACCACCAAATAATTTTACTGGTGCATTTTCTCAAATATCTAATGGCTATCCAAGCGAACAGCAACCATCACAACAACAACAACCCCAACAGCCACAATATCAGCAAATAGATCAGCAGCAACAGCAACCACAACAATATCAGCAAATCGATCAGCAGCAACAACAGCAGCCACAATATCAGCAAATCGATCAGCATCAGCAACAGCAGCAACAGCAACAGCAACAGCAGCAACAGCAGCCCCAACAATATCAACAAATTGATCAACAACAGCAACAGACACAACAACCTCAAACACCACAACAGACTTATCAACAATTACAAACACCACATCGTCAATTATCGCAGCAGCAACAATTACCGTATCCACTTCATCAACCTCAACATCAATCTTCGTTACCATTACAGCCACAACAGCAGCAACAACCTCCTATTGGTGGTCTACAACAATTTAATTTTGATTATCAACAACAACAGGATACAAAACAAGCCATCACTCCAAATTATTATAATGTTCAACCAGCAACGGCAACTCATCAGGTACCACCGCAAAACGTCACTCCTGGATATAATAATGCTTCGATAGTTCCTCAGCAACAACAATCTCAACAATACACTGCTCAAGGTTATTAATGATAACTAGAATCAAATATTTAATAGAGTAGATTCTTTTTTTAAATGAACTCTCTTACTTTTTTTTTACTTTTTATCTCTGACAGTTGAGTAAATCTGGGAATCTGTTGCTAGTAGCTTATTTTTTTTTCGAGTTGTTTTCCAACAATAAATGTATTGCTTTTTGTATATTATATTTTAATGATTTTGATCTAATCGAAATTATGTTCTTCCCTTGATCTGATATATGATTAGAATTGAATTATCAAAATAAAAAAGCTAACTATTAACGCAAGTGATTAAAGAATAATAATTGGAAGCGTTTTATACGTTAAACAAATAATACACGTAAAAATAAGATCTTTTGTATTATTATCATTATTATGCCCTCCTGAATCCAAGTTAGTATTATAAATAAATATTGTAAATAAAATACAAACAAAAATGACTGACATTAAATTAACACCGAGAATATTATAATAAAAAAAAGCGAGATATCCAACAGAATAAAATCCAACACTCATCAAACCAGCCACCACATAAATCAACAACATTGCGACCGAATAATAGACTAACGATAAATAGATTGATGGGGTATTGAAGGCATGATTACTCGATTGTTTGAATTGTCACTGGGATTGCTACCAGAAAGTGATGGCGTTGATTGTTTGAAATTTTATTCGAGTAATTATCTAATATCGTGTGCACCCGCTGATCATGTCTTATGTATTCGGGACACGGATACCATGTCATTAATTAAAACTATTCGAGGTGAGAAAAGGGTTATTGCTTTTATCAAAGAGAGGTATATTCTCAAAGTAATGAAAAATGACAAATTGTTCTATTTCAAATATAAATGAATTCTGATATTGTCGCGCTGAATATGTACAAGGATAATTTGATTACCATAAATAATACTAACACAATCTCTTTTACACCGTTGAATGAAAATGTAATTTTTGAATTTTTTGAATTTTTAACTTGTGTTTATTCATCCACTTTCACCAAATAATCACGATCAAAAATAGCTCCAAGTTCCACGATATTGATAAAGTACCCGAAAAAAAGTTACGGGTCACGTGTCGCCAATAAGAATGCGTGAATTTTTGATTTACTAGTGACACAAACCAATAAAAAT